AAGGAAGGAAGGAAGGAAGGAAGGGAAAGAAGGAAGGAAGGAAGGGAAGGGAAGGAAGGAAGGAAGGGAAGATTGGGTGGCATCTGTGGCTCAGTGAGGAGGGCGCCGGCCCCATATACCGAGACCGAGGGTGGCAGATTTGAACCTGGCACTGGCCAAACTGCAACAAAAAAATAGTGGGGCACTGTGGAGGGCACCTGTAGTCCCAGCTACTTGGGAAGCTGAGGCAGGAGAATTGCATAAGCCCAGGAGTTGGAGGTTGCTGTGAGCTGTGACGCCACAGCATTCTACTGAGGGCGATAAAGTGAGACTGAAAGAAAGAAAGATTATTTCTCATCCCTCTTGACCACACACGCACACACTCAAACACAAAATACAATCCTCACAGCATGGCTTCTGACTGATTCTACAGGTGAAAAGCACGACAGCCAAACTATGAGAGGACAAGCCTGTCAAGAGCTAACCTAGCTGGCTGTCCAGTCACTGCCCACTTTGTGAGTCTTGGCCTATAGGTTTAATGCCTGGACACTGGCCCCTAACCTTGCTGAGTTTCAGCACAAGCCCTAAGCAATCCAACTCTATGGCTGTGGGAACATGCCAAGATGTACCTCCTATAGGACCGCAGCTCGGCTGGGCTTGCTGTCTACATGTCCCTTCCCATGCCCATGGCCATGACATCCAGAGCTGCCTACTCCCTGATCTCCCTGGGGGTTGGCGCCCGCTTTTCCTCACGCAGTCACCGTCTGGGGCGCACAGGAACCGCCAGAGTGGAGCCACTACCTGCAACCAAAGTCGCGACCAAGGTTCCGCAAACATGAGCCACCCCTCCACCCCCAGCCAAGACTTTGGGACGCTGAGCACGAGTGGCCAGCCTGCAGGGGAGCGAAGGACGGGAAATCTGCCCCCATTCACTGCCCAGACTGGCCAGGGCGCCCACCCCAAAGCCTGCAACCCCGACCCACTCCCTTGTCTTTCCATCTCACTTACTCGGGAAAATTGCCGCGGACCCCAGCCTCTTCCAAACCCTGCCCGAGCTGCTCAGTCCCCGCCGACCCCCAATTGCCTGCCCCCGCTGGGACTGAAGTGCAGGAGGCCCTGAGGACATCCGAGGCTGACATCAATCGCCCTGAGCGTGTGCGCTACTCAGGCGAGTCCGCCCAGCAGACACCAACCCATATGCAATGTCCCCACATCCAACCTTGTCCAAGCAGCCCTGCAAACTCCAGTGCTTTGGTATCTGAAGCCGCTGCAAGGCCTGCCGGGATTAGTAGTTCTCAGCCCTCCGGGGCAGAGCACAGTAGGGTCAGGACCACAACTCCCAGGAGGACCCGCGGCGGCCGCGGCGCTGGCGCATCTGGGCTGCAGAGGGCGCTGGGGGGCTACCAAGTCTGGCCGGCCGGAACTCCCCTCTGATTGGATGGTGCAGTACAGTCCTAGAAAGGCGGCTTCTCATTCGTCAGCCTGTGGCTGTGGAGTTTGAATTGGGTGGCGGTTAGCCATAGCTGATTCAGCGAGGTTTTTCCTCAACTCTTGTTTTGCGACCGCAGGTAGGTGCCCAGAGTCTGGTGGGGGGTTGGGGGGGGAGGCGGGGGGTCGAGTTCCTATCCGCCCCTAGCGGTTCTTTGCTTCCCCTCCGGTCTCCGCTGTAGACCCCTTGTGCCTCGATCGTCGCTCCCCGCAGCCTCCGCCGAAGCGCCATGGCTCCAAGGAAGGGCAGCAGTCGGCCGGCCAAGACCAACAACTTACGGAGCCGGAAGCTCGCCTCCTTCCTTAAGGACTTCGACCGTGAAGGTAAGGGGCAGGGCCCGGGCCGCCGCGGCCACCTGGGCTACGGCGCGGGGCTCGCGGGCTGGGAAGCGGCGCCCCGACTCACCCGCCCAGAGGTCCATGTTCTGCCCTCCTGCAGTGGAAATGCGAATCAAGCAAATTGAGTCGGACAGGCAGAACCTCCTCAAGGAAGTGGATAATCTCTACAACATCGAAATCCTGCGTCTCCCCAAGGCGCTGCGCGAGATGAACTGGCTCGACTACTTCGGTAAGAGTTTCCCGGGGCTGAGGCCTGGAACCCTTGTGGTTACCGTGACTCCTTTCAGAAAGGACTTGCTGAAAAGTTACCTCTTAAGGCAACTTTGTTCCCTAACATGACCTCTTAGGGAAAATTGTAGGCCATCTGCTCCCTCCCACTCCCTATCTCACTTCCTTACTTCATTCCTCTCCATTGCACTTACAGTCTTCCAGTTTGTGGGGGGCAGGCAAACCTTTTCTCTAAAAGGCCAGCTAACAAATATTTTAGTCTACATGAGTCAGAGGGTTCTCTATCCTACAAATGAACTCTGCAATTAAAATCCCAAAGCAGCAAGAATGAATGGGCAGGCAGGGCGGGGTGTCTTGTTCATTTCTACAGACACTAAGCGTGTTGGTGCTGAAGATGCCCCGGGGAATAAAACAGTGTCCCTACCCTCAGGAACATACACAACTTAGTGAAAAAGGGCTATTAAAAAAAATCACATAAAGACTTGGCGTGGTGGCTCCTTCCTGCACTCCTAGCACTCTGAGAGGCTGAGGCAGGATTATTTGAGGTTAGGAGTTTAAGACCAGCCTGAGCAAAACGAGACCCTGTCTCTATAGAAAAAGGAAAAATTAGCCAGTAGTTGTGGCACACACCTGTAGTCCCAGCTACTCAGGAGATTGAAGCAGGAGGATTGCTTGAACCTAGAAGTTTGAGGTTGCTGTGAACCAGGCTGAGGCCATGGACTCTAGCCTGGGCAACACAGTGAGACTCTGTCTCCAAAACAAAAAAATTTACATACTGTTATAAAATTATTATAAGTACTACTAAGGAGATAGAAGAGAGTAGCAGTCGGTAAGTATATTTATATAGTGATTCCTACTCCAGATGGACATTGTGCCAAATGTTTTATATAAACTAATCTTATCCTTATAACAAGCTAATTATTAATGTTATCTCTATTTTCAAAGTGACAAGATTAAGGCACAGAGAAATTAGTTACTTTGCTCAAGGTTTCTTTTTTTTTTTTTTTTTTTTGAGACAGAGCCTCAAGTCATGCCCCTGGGTAGAGTGAAGTGGCTTCACAGCTCACAGCAACCTCCAA